CTGAGGATCCCCGGGATGGGATGGGATGGGATGGGATGGGATGGGATGGGATGGGATGGGATGGGATGGGATGCGGTGGGGTCCCAACACGCTTTGTGCGGGAAAGCTGTTGTGTCCACGGCGGGGCCGGCCGCAGATGAACGATCAGCTGTCAACTGACCCAGTTCGTTCGTTTTTCCGGTCGTATTTTGGGGAATTTTGGGGAATCCTCATAGGCGGCTCAGCTCCACAAGAAGAAGTAACAACGGGCATGCAAGTTCCTGTGAGTTTTTGTTGGTGTACCTTCTTGTGAAGGTCGGGGGCCTTTTGCCAATTGGGGAGCCTAATCGCAGGTTCCCCGTGGTTGCAGGTTTCGGAGTTTTCCCTCTGTCTAGATGACTACTTTCGTTCTGATGGTCCGGGTGAGCTCGTCTTAGTTGCTCCGATAATCTAAGGTGCGGTAATAATGCACGGCCAGCTGGCCCGCTGGCTCTACTCTTCACGAGCCTGGAGCCCAGTGTAACCCCCCTCCACACACACACACACACACACACACTCCCCTGGGGCGCTGCCGACGTTGTGAACAGAATGAAACTGTAGTACTTATCGGAAATGCCGGAGCAGGTAAAATAACTGTTGCTTTCAGCGTACCCAAAAAACTGCATTTTCCCGAAGGTAAAAGCATACCGGCCATGAGCATTCTATAAAAAATAATGAAAGGCAACGGAGGTACCGGCATATAAATGGTGTCCATATTGCTTGTTATCTATGTTACAAAGAGAACTTAATAAAAATATTATCATTGTTGTCACTCCTTTCCGCCTTGCTTGGCAAATGTACGACGTGTGGGACAGGGGGGTCATATCTTCACCCTGCGGCTGCTACCCTGCGAAACCCTGCCTTCCCCGGTGTTTCGGGGCACCCTCATCTAGTCACCCTAGTCAACTTCTCAGTGGATCGCTCAGGTTCCGCACCCACCACCAGCATCCAACGGAATCTGCCGGATGGACGGCGGCTCAACTCCATTCCTGGTCGGCTCGCGAGTCAACTTCATCCCAGGTCACCACCGTCCATCCACTAGGGGCACTTTTACCTTCCACCATCTGGAGGATTTTCGACCCTAACAGGTGTTGATCCCGGAAAACCTCCGGGGGGACATTGGTGTGTGCTCTACAAGTAGTGCCTAACCTAAATGTGTGTATGTATGTATATAAGTACGTATGTATGAACGTATGTATTTTGCGCATATTGCCGCACACCACACATGGAGTTAGGCGGAAACAAGCCTGGGAGGTTCGAGTTCAAGCTACCCTGCTCAAGTGCACTTCCATCCGCCCAGCCTTGTTCTCCACCGTCACCATCCGCATACACCCCCAGCACCACACCACCACCACTACCACCACTTGAAGTGCACGACAGCGCCCGCTCGCCCGACTCACCAACCGTCCGCACAAGCACCAGACGGACTCCTCCACCACCACCAGCGAGAACACGATAACAAGGACACACGCACTCTTGTTGCTGCTTGTGCTTCTGCTAATTTACACACACGTAGAAGAAGAGACGGGCAAAATCGCTATGAAAGCTCACCTGCCAGCGGACAAAAAGGGAAAGGGAAAAAGAGAGACAGCATCCGTCAGCTAGCGCCAATCAGCCAACCGCACAGCGGGACCAGATCGCACGGGATAAACCCACGGGTCGATAAACCGCACCACCATGCATGGAGCACCTCATCAGCCGGCAGCAGGAAAAAGCAGCTACTCCTGCGCACGTGATGGCTCCCCTCCTGCTTACCTCCACCAGAACAAGGACATGGACATGCTCAAAGACATGTGTATGGAAGGCGACCGGCAGCCAGAGCTGGTTAGGTGAGGAAGGCAAGGCCATAACAGCCAATAGAGGAGGCACCTCAAGCAGCATGCACATCATAAGAGTTACATCGCGGCGGCAGCAACACCGCAGCGAAGCGGCAAGTGTGTGCTTCATGTGCCCAACCCAGCAGTTCGTGCAGCAGCTACACACAGCACACCGCACGACGGCCAACCGCCCAAATAATAAAAATCCGTGGAGCGACCAAGATGCCGCTGCGTGGAAATGTACAACAACAGGCTGCTCCGAAACCGCCAGTTATAAAAAAAACAACACTGCACATCCAAGAAATTTAAAGATGAACATCGACCAACCAACCACGGCTGGCTAGGCAGGGGTTGGACAGGACAGGACAGGCGGGGCGGTGTGGGGCCGGGCGGGGCGGGCGCCCGAAGCTCTCGCGACTGACCCGGCCCACAGAAGCGACTGACCCGGCCGGGAGTTAAAAATCCTAAAGCTCTCGCCTAGGTCCTGCAAGAAGGTATACATATAGATAGCCGTTGCAGCGCAACACAAAACACCGCAGCAGAAAAGCAAGGAGCAACGCACAAGACGCGTACAAACAAGGAAAGACGGCTCGGCCTAATAACAAATAACGAACGTCCCCTAAGGTCCCATGCCGCATACCAAACCATTTTCATATGTGCTTGTATGCATCTTTATGTGTACTTCATGTATTCTATTTATGTATGTGGAATATATATCTGTAGGACGTATGCTTTATATCCAGGCATACGACCGCCTCTTAAAAAAGGTCGGGAAATCGCTGATGTGTTGAAGTGGATGCAAGCGCATGTACATGCAACATACAAACTACACGAGCACCATCACATTATCGTAGTCATCAACATAAGGCAGCAGCAACAAAAAACAACACAAACAATAACTAAGAAAATAGCGGAGTAAGAAAGATGTGATATATAAAGGAACACTTCACGACAGAACGCAAAGCGGCACTAGACGGAGTAGCAAGGTGAAGAGTGGGGCGTTCCCATGAAGTGGGAATGTGAATAACGACAACTACGCAAGACATCTGCATGACTAATAAGGTCCTTAGAAAGGTGCCGAGGCCGGAAACCTGCCGTACAAGCAATATAATATACATAACACAGATATATGGATAGAATTAAGCCGCCAAAAGGACTTTGCCCTAGTAAACTTCTAAAAAAAAGTTGAAGTACGATGTAACGTGTGAAGTGTCATGCCACCGAGCAATTTCGGCAACAAGGGCAGGACAAGGAGCATGTGAATATTAGTATGCAAACGCCGCACCCGCACCCGCACCCACACCGTTGTTTTTCCCACCTCGATATACTTGCGCGACATCATTTCCCCGGCGGGCGACCTACATCTGCTACTACTGCTGCTGTTGCAGCTGCGCTATAGCAGCTGTTACTGCTACTGCTCTTCTCCAGCTTAACAACCACCAGCGAAAGCCGACCAGAAAACCGACCCCACCAATGCGCGCACGCGTGCTTTGCTGGTGGTGCTATAAAAATAAAAAAAAACATACAGAACAGATTTGTGTGACCGCGGAGGACTCAGCAGGCCGGCGGTTCCCTCCAGTAATCATCCACTTCCGCGCCAACAACCCTCCTCTCGACCGGGAACCCCAACAAACCACACACACATACATACAGATAGACGTGCATGATTCCGTGCACTCCTCGTTCCGTTATTAACTTGTTTACACTACTGCTGTTATAGTGTGCTCCCCCCTCCTCCTGCCCCGCCCTCCTCCTATGTGAAACAAGCAAGACACGTCATCGACAGACCAGATGCAGTACAACGAGCTATACGGCATCCATCAAAGTCGTGAGAAAAAACAGAAAAGGAAAGCGAGCCAAGCCGGTGACATGCATGATTACCTTGATGCCTATTTCACCTTGAATTTCAATTATATCTGAAAAACCGAGCATTGCGTACTAACGCATCTGCGTGTCTGTCTGTATGTCTGCGTTATACTTGTGTCCTTCTTTATCCAAAAAGAGAAACCAGACCACGTAAGCGGAGAAAGGCTGAGGAGGGGGAGGCCACCAGCCTACCTCCTTTCGTCCCTCGGTCCCTAGTCTCTGTCCGCAGAACTAAATAATGCGGCATTGCGGCCCCATGTAATATAGACGTCGAAAGAGGAAAAAAACACAACTCCACGACGACGTACTGCGACATCCAGCAGATCGGCGGAAGACCTCCCCGGGCTTCATTAATGAGCTCTCGCCTCCTCGTCCTCCTCGTCGCCGTCGTCGTCGTCGTCAGCCCCAAGAAATGATCAGGTAGATGGTTGATTTAGGCTACTACGGCGCTGCTGACGGCGGCGAAAAGCCCTCACAGCGGCTCCCCCTCCCCTCATCTGGCTCTGTGGCACCACCACCACCACCACCACCACCACCACCACCACCACCACCACCACCACCACCACCGTTGGGCCTCTTGAGAAAGGGCTCCCGGAGGGTTTCGAAGCCGCGTCAACCCTTCCCCCCTCCCCCTTTTTCTCCCCCTTTTTCCTCCCCCTTTAGAAAGTCCAGTCAGCTGGGCCCCGGCAAGTCCGGGTGGGGCAAACAGAAAGACCTACCACGCGCCGCCCATCGACTTTTCTTTCACCTTGGCACCTCTTGGGACGTAAGGAACGGAGGACGGCGTAATGGCGGCAGGGCCGCTCGTGTCCATACACACAGTACGACACGAGACATGGAATGATACATGGTACGACATCATAGCGGGTCGGGCGTCTTTCCTGCTCAGGGACAGGCCACCAGGCAACCGTCCTCACCGGGCCGCCTCTCAACGCAACCGCGAACCGTTTTGATAGTATCAATATAAAAGACAATGTATAGATAGATAGCAGCACAAATAAAGATCTTGGGACAGAGGAATGGAAGCGTAAGAAAAACGAGTGGAAGGAAGGGAAATAGGATTTAGGGTTCCAGCTCCTAAACGCGCAATTTTTAATATCCAGCATGCGCACAAGCTACATGTCGCCCGCGTGCTGCTTCGGCGCACGGGCAGCGCCATTATCTACAGCCAAGCATCCCTGTCCCTGTCCCTGTCCCGGTACCTGTCTTTGCACCAACCCCCCTGAGCCGCCATAGCTCTTACTTACTAGCCCGTTTGAAACGTCTCAAACCTCCGAAACCCAACTATTGCCGCTGACGGTCGTCTGTCCGAGGGGTAAGTCCCCGGGCGGCGCGGCAGCTGCCGCACCCATGCTGCTGCTCTTACAACTGCTGCTGCTACTGCTGTTGCTGCGACTCAACAGCCGGGCATGAATGCACTCGCCGCTGTCATCGTCCCCGCCGTTGTCGCTGCCGCCGCCGCCGCCGCCGTCACTTTCCTGGCGGCAGTTCCCCGCAGCGCTATGGTGCCGTACTGTCGTGCAAGCGACGGGCCGATAGCAATGCTGTCGTACGCCACCTGATGCGGGTGCCGGGGAGCTGCTGTCGGTTTCCGTTGGCAGTACGAATCCCGAGGGGACGGCAGTAGCCCGCAAGCCAACACCGGTGATCCTTGAGCTGTAGCTGACGCGGCAGTTACGGTGGCAGCTGGAATCTGACGTGGTCGGCGCCTGGAGTACGGCCGTGGCAGCGGCGGCCGCCGCCCAGCTAAGCGGATCGTCCTGATTCATGCCAACGCACGTGCCAGCGCTGGCGGCGCCGGCGGAGGCACCGACGTCAGCGGAGGATGGCGTGCAGGCTTCTATGCCTTGTACGGCAATTACGTCGCCGCTGGCGGCCGAGCAAGTCGGCGACGGCATCCCTGTCGTCGGTGAGTGCGGTGCAGCGCGTGTTGGACGCAGTCCACTGTCGATCAGGGTGCCGTGCGCATCACCATCTTGGCTATCGGGAGGCGGCGGCGGCGGCGGCAGTAGCAATGGCGGCGGCAGTGGTGGTGCCTGCAGGACTCCCGCCGACTGCACCAGCAGCAACGAGTGTGGAAGTGGGACGGGCGCGACGTCCTGGGGAGAAGTAGGGTTCGGTGATCTGATGGAGGCGCCGTCGCTCGGTGTATCCGTCGCCACTGTTGCTACAGCCGCTGTCGCAGCTACTGCTGCTAACGGCGCCTGGTGAGCGAGGGGCAGCGCGGGCGACTCGGGTGCTGCCCGAGTCAAGGAAAACCGAACGGCCAGCGTCTGCGCCTGCCGCAGATTCAGGGGAATCGGCGTACCGCCGCTAGTGCCGTAGCAAGGGCCGACGCAGCTAATGCGGGATGGGGCGGATGCAGCAGGAGCGGATCCCGGCCTCATGTGGAGCGGTGCCGCTGGGCTGGAGTTCCACGGCGGCGTCGCGTTCCCCGGCTCCGCTTTCAGCAGGATATTCTTCGCCAAGTACCGTTTCGGCCGGAGAGATGGCTTTGGGGGAACAGGGAAATCGCTACAGGCCGCTGGGCAGGAAGCTGCCGGAGCGGCCTCCAAGGTTTCGGAAGAAAGCAGTTGCAAGGCGGGTGGCGGCGAGTTTTGCGGCGAGGCCTCAGAGCTTCCCGAGCCGTGGCCATGCTCGCCAGATTTCCTTGACCGTTTGCTGCGCGAGTCAAGGTTTCTGAGCGCCACATGAATTAGGTTTTCCATTGTTTGTGCCTAAGGGGCGGGATTGGTGCGGTTCTCGCGACATGTGAGCTTTTTTGCGAAGGGAAATAGACCAATGGCAATCTTAAAAACAGGATTGAAATGTATTGGCCCTATTGAGGAAAATGACAGTGTTCACGACAAGGGCTCTTGTGATGATCCCACATTACCTGCAAGAGCAGTCCATCGAGATGATTGGACAATGCCTTAGACATCGCGAGCTGCTGCTCAACGCGTGCAAGCAACAGGCAAAGCACGGTCGCGCTATCGGCACAGTAGGAGCGCTTATGCGAAGGCCTCCCACTCTGAGCCGAGGCAAGCAAAACTCCTGACCCATCTCTGCATTGCATTAAGAAAAGGACAATTGTTGTTTCACGATCCGACCTGTAATGTAATGTGCAACTATAACAAGCAGCGTTTGGTCTTACCTATCGACATCCATGTCTTGCAGGCCCGTCATTGGTTTTAGGTTGGAAATTCAAGTAGTATGTAAGTAATCCAAGTACAGGAAACAATAGAGAGCAACTAACTGTGTGCTGCAACTGGCTAGGAGTCAAGCCGCTTGACTCCTAGCTGCAGGGTTTGATAGCAGGCGGTCGAGCCACAAATCGTACTGTCGAGCAAGAGGTCGACTGCTGAGTGTCTCCACAATTAATGCCAAAAGTACCCAACACTTAGGTTAACGCACCGCGAATCACGTGACGGATACGGGACGGTGAGATACAGTCCCCGATTACAGGCAGCCTTGGCGAAATAAAAGTTTAAAAGGTTACAAATTATGACGTTCCTGCAAAGTTTTGCAGTCTGAACTACGTGATCAGGGTGGCCTCGTCTGGGGCTAGGTTTCGTTCTGCCTCGTACTTCGCTTTCCACTCAAGTAACACGGAATTGAGCCACCTAAGCAGTCAATATCTCGCTAAGAGATTTGCAGGATTATAAATGTATCTTATTTGGTATGTTTTATGAGTTACCTAGGTGTTTGCGTTCGCAGAGCTACGAGATCCGTCGCTTTCGCGCGCAGTCACGCGAAGCCGTCCTTCTGAACGAGGATACATAAACGCCGTGTGAAGTCTCATCCTCACATCTGTTACGGCAGTTTATCCCCTGCCTCGAGCGCCCCTAGTGCCTAGATGCGGCGTTGACTCGCGTCGCTGCCTCCGAGCAGCACAAACGGACCTGCCCTGTCCTGCCCTGCCCGCCCGCAAGCGCTGCCATCGCGAGACGCACCTGAACAACTACAGGTAATGATAATATGAGCCTGCAGAAACCCTTGCAAGAAGGAAACCAGAATCGCACTCGTGGCCCAGCAGCGAGGCGTCCCAAACCGCCCCTAAATGAATTAGTTCTGAGTACGATAGGGCCTAGATGAGAGCTCAAAATGCAAGAGTATGGGTATGTGCGCGCCCTACCATAACATTTTCGGATTTCGACGACTAACTTTATGCCGACTCACCCACGTGGCCGTTGGGACGCTGCCCAAAGAGCTTATTAGATGAGAAAGGGCGGGCAGCAAAACTCCCGCGCGGGCAGCTTCCCCCCGCTATCATTACGTACGATCACAAACCCACTTCTGCCCAGATAGATAGATCGATAGATAGATAGATAGATAGAAATACCACGGCCGACGAGAGAACGTGGTAACAGATCTTTTTTGTAGCGCAGAGTATTCGTGGTCACAAAAAGGCCTGTAGATCAGCATAACGTAAAAAACCACCCAATAACGAGCCACACACAGGCATGCACGTAAAAATCGTTACAAATAAAGCCCCGAGCTGTTTAAGCACATAGAGATTTATTTTGGCGGTTTGTTTGCAAGCACTTTCCGGGGTGTAAGGCAGGCACCATATATTTGACATTTGTGGCTAGCACATTCCGCCACTGCCGCCGCCGCGGCCACCGCCGCATGCATGTACGATTTGTTCATGCCAGTGGGCAGATCCCCCCTGGCCTGGGTGGATGGCGAGGGCCACGAGCCCGGCAGTGCCACCCTCATGCATCCGTCTCATGACCCTTGGGTGTGCCGACTTCTGTGAAGCTAAGTTAGCGACCTTTTCGGGTTCAGCACCTACCACCACCACCACCACTACCACCACCATCACCACCACCAGCATCCAGCGGAACCTGCCGCCAGATCAACGGCGGCGCCAACTCCCCCCTCTTGGTCGTCTAGCAGGTCAATCATCAATAACCGGGTCCATCACCGACCCCACCGGCATCGGGTGGGGGTGGGGGTGTGCATTCACCCTCACATGGTCTAGGGGTGTACACATGGCGAGGACCGACAACGGCCCACACCACGCCTGTACGAAAACTCTGCAGATTTTTACTTCATTAATTGGAGCACGGCGCTAATGCTGCCGAACTGCATGTCGGCAGGGAAGGCAAAACAAGAAAAAAAACACGAGAAAACAAGGTAAACAGCGAGCAGCAACCAGCTGACAACAAACAACAAACAACAGAGTCTGTTAAACAGACAACAAATAACAAATTTCAAATAACAGACAACAAACAACAGACAACAAACAAAGAAGATAGCGATAACACGGCCCTCCCGGTCCTCCAACTCGGTCCTCATCTCAATCTGGTGCCAGATCTCCCCGCCCGGGGGTTCCCGCTGCTGCAATTGAAACAAAATCTCAAAATACCTAATATGTACCGCCAAAGATGCCGTATTATATATACGTACACCTGGAGCATTCGGTGTCTATAATCTTTAACTTTTCCCCAACATATACACATATGTGCATCACTCATGCGCCGCCAGCTCTTCTTGTAGATATGACTTGTGCCGTATAAGTCTGACCACGTTGCTTCACCACACCTATACAGATGTCTGCCAAAATGCGTCGGCTGGAATGGAGTAGGTCGCTACTCTGACCGGATAGCGCTTTTTGGTGGCTGCAGCGGCATTGTTGCATCAACTAATACTAGAGGTCTCCCTGGACGCTCCCGCAACAGGCCGGGCAACAAGCTGAACGAGCGAGGGATAGTACTGGTGTTCAGACCCAGTTCCTTGGCGCTGTCTACTGCCGTCGTCCCTGCCGCGCGCAAACCCGGCGCCGAGTGAGATTTTGAGCGTCTGGGAGTTCAGCAGGTCCAACGGTGAAGAGGAGGGCAGCAGCAGCGGCGGACCTTGCGGCCCCACCACCGTTGTTGCTGACCTGAGTAACCTTGGACCCATCGGTGCACTGCACTGCTGCGCTCTCTGAGGCTGCCGCAACTTCTAACTGTTGTGTGTATACAGATATACATCTACATATGTAATATATGGCATCCACTCCCCCGTCAATAATGTCCACGACAACACTAGTACTCTGCTCCTGCGACTCTCCGCCTGTGGTGTACGACAGGCCGGTTTCTTGCTTGCGACCCGCTAGCTTGCCGATCCTAGCCTACCATGAGCAAAACCAACCTAACCAAGCCCAGCACTGACTGCGCTGTTGTTGTTGTGGCGACCACTGTTCCAGCTGTAGCGGTTGGTGCTGTAGCGGTTGGTGCTGTAGCGGCTGCTGCTGTAGCTGGAGCATCATGCCCAGAAAAGCTGCAGGCAGTTGCTTCAACCACAGCAGCAACAAGTCTGCCGGCGACGGAAACGAGTGAGCTAAGATGCCGCTCCTACCGCTACCACATTGCTGCTACTGCTGCTGCCGCTACTGCTACTGCTGCTGCTGCTGCTGCTGCCACAAGGCCACTAGGTAGAGGCCGCAGCAGCGGCGGCAGCAGCGGCGTCAAGGGTGCGGTAGTCTCAGCAGCTTCGGTGGTAACACCCCCCTCCCCCGCGCGCTCCTAAAACAAAATCGGTGACCTCTTATAGAATTCCGCTCCAGGGAGGGCGGCTGCCGGACATACCGCCGCACATACCGCCGCACATACCGCCGCACATACCGCTGCACATACCGCCGCACCAGGCCATGATGTGGGTGCTGGAGCTGCCCGGCTGGCCCCATCACCGTACATGGGCACCAGGCTGTTCCTTGGCTGTTCCTTGGATAGCAAGGGACCCAGCAACCTCAGTTGTTGCGTTTCCTGTAGATGCAGCGGTAGCGGTAGCTGTAGCTGCGATAGCTGTGGCAGCGGCAGTAGCCCAGAGCAGCAGGGAGGAGGGAGTGAAGGCAACGTCGACCGTGTATGTTGGCCGTCCTGTTGTCGCTGCTGCCGCCGCCGCCGCGATAGCGGCGAAGCCCGGTGGTGGCGGCGCTTTGGTTCTCCTCTTGGGTTGCATTAACGTGGTCAAGTTGTAATATGCCCGCCGGATCCGCCATGAGGCTGCTGCCGTCACCGCTGCCGATGCCGCTGCCTCTGCCGCTTGGGGAGGGAGGCAGGTACGACGGGAACTGCATGTTCAGCGAAGTTTCCAGATGCAGGGATGCAGCGAGCCCGATGAATTGCTGCTGCTGTTGATAATGCTGGTGCTGGTGCAGGTGTGCAGCTGCTCCTGGCACAGGTTCCCGATTCACGTCCGGATCCAAAGATGTGACACGCTGCACTGAATAAACCTCTTCACACTACGGCTGCAAAACGCGGGGGAGCGCGCTGAGGCGTCGTCGTCAGGGCAATGTGGGCTCAAAGTGGTTGGGATGATATCAGAAGCTCTATTGTCGGGGTCCTTACGGCCATCGCGCCATTGCACCCCATCCATGCTGCGCCGCCTTCGCCTCTCCGTTCTTTGCTCGCCATACGGAGCATCTAACGGTATCGCTGCTGTCACTATGCTGGTCAGATTCCCGTGGTTTGCTTTGATGGCTGTAGGGGATGTGACAGCTGTAGGGGATGGGGCAGTGACGGCGGCGACTGAAGTCGCGGCAGTGGGTTGAGATAAGCACGGGGCTGCGGTCTGGAAGGTTGTAATCGATGGCCGCGGTGGCGGCGGCGGTGATGTCACCATCAACAGCCTTCTCAGAGATTTTGCCTATCTTAAGCGCTGCCTCAATGATGTGCCGGATAGTTGCCGCCTGTGGCTCGTGGCAAGATAAAGCAGCACAGCATCAACAGCAACAGCAGTAACTAACGGAAACAGTTACAAATCCCACTCGTCGCAAGAGGTTAAATAAAAAGCTGCCGAAAGACAATTGCAGGTAAGTGTCTTTGGGTCGTGCGTGTTATCACACGAAAAAATAGTACAATGTCTGTTCTGGGACAGCTCCGACTAACCCCCAACTAACTCGTGTACGGCACCCCAACCCCCTCAGCCGTACAGGAGTTCGCTGTGGGAGCCGGCAGCTGTGCGAGTGGGAGCCGGTAGTTGTACGATAGCCCGGCCGGGAAGCTACCTGACTGTAGTGACGCACACGGGCAGTTGACGCTAGTCGGCAGGCGTGCGAGTGGGAGCGGGTAGTTGAGCGCGCAGGCGTGTGGGAAGCTGCTGCGGGGTACGGCGGAGCTCGGCGGGGGCTGACGGTTGGCGCGGCGCGCGAATGGTAGTGCGCAGTTGGGTGCGCGCCGTTTGGGAAGCTGCGTGTGAGCTGCATGTAAACTCAGAGAGACGCATGGGGCTAACCCTGTTTCCATCAGGTGCCTCTGAGCGCACACGGTTTCACACGGTTGACACTAGGCGCCAGCCGCCCCGCGTTGCTTCGGTTTGGGCACTGGGGACTGGGAACTGGGAAGATGCGGCGGAATGCGGCGGAATGCACGGGAGGGTGGCGCCTGACACTCCAAGAAGCCGTGGTGCGGAAGACTGTCCTTTTGTGCAGCAATCCTGTTGTAAAAGCCAATGCACTGCTTCGCAAAAAAGTAATGGAGGGGTAATTGCGCTAGCTCCACATAGTCCGCAAACAGCAGCCGGTGTGCGGGGCGTGATGCGCCCGTGGTCTGCCTCATGTAAATCACTTGTAGCTTAACGGCCTCGTCTCGCCAGCATGCTTCAAACAGACCTTGCGCTAGATTGTTGCTATCGCGCTGGCGTGCTGGGAGCCCGCCGTCCAGCATTTCTGCTAAGACGTCTGGGCCCCACACCTCGCATCCGTATTTCCATGAGCTGTCTCTGGGCAAACACACGGTTTGACACGGTTGACACGGGGACCCCCGTGGGGTGGCGCCCTCGGCGCCGCCCTGCGTGTGAGTTCGTGTGAGGATGCGGATAAGTGCGACCTAGATGCGGAGGAAACATGTCCGGTTGCGCGGCGCGCTCTGCGCGTTTGGCCCCCACCACCACCCAGGCTGGTGGCGATTGCATCAGAGCGCACACGGTTTCACACGGCTGCCAAAGGGAGGGATCGCTGGGGCGGCGGCAGGGGGCTGGAAGAAGCAGCGGAGTGCGAAAGGACTTGCTGGAGTGCACGAGAGTTCCATGGGGGGGGGAGACGCGCGGGCGGGGTGCAGGGGAACTCGGCGGAAACTGATGGGGAATTCGCGCAAAACTCGGGCGAAACTGGGTGTAATTACAGCAAAACTCGGGAGTCGCACCAGACTACATCAGCGTATAAGTAACCTGCATTTGATACATTTTGCGAGGTATATAAACAGATGCATCAGGTTAGTTTCATCGCCGTCGGTCCTCCGCAGGCAGCCATTCCGCTAGGGAACCCTTTGAATTTTACTAGGAAATGTAGCTTGCCACCAACGTATTTGCTCGCGACACCTCGAAGTGTGTTTCGCCACGCACCTGCTCTCGCTTGCCCTTCCTGCTGTTGCCGCCGCGCTTACCCCCCGCAGGCTTCTTTGGTGGCGCCGGCGTGGTGGTGGCACTTGTGCTTCAATTGCGCGCGTGGCCTGCTGCTGAATGGTCGCAAGAGTGCATGCAACACGCCGCACCTGGCGCTGCTCCTGCACGGTCTCTGCCTGTCGCTTCACCCCACCTGCCACCCTGTCTGTCACCTCCTGCACCAACTGCATCTCTGAGGGCGGTGCAGGTGCTGCTTGCCCTCCACAGCGAAGCGATAGCCCTCCTGTCGTGTCACGGTGTAGATCTGCTGTGAGTATGTGGCCTTCTCCTTGTCAAACAGCCCCTTGCCCTCCAGCAATTGCACGTGGTCACTTGACCACACGTGCCCCATGTTCAGCGCCAGCATGTAGTCCACATCTGTGAGTGCCTCATCAGGGAAGGTGCCTCCTTCACATGCTGAGTTAACACCAAACACCAAAAGTTAACTTCAAATGTGCGTTGTTTTTCCAGCGCCGCGTCCATGCTTTCTGCTGCTTTTAGGGTGGTCTGGCATTCCGGACACCGGCTGCTTCAGAGCTGAGGGATCTGCACAGGCCTCTGAAGGGCTCTGAGGGGCTCTGGAGGGTTCTGGAGGTCGGTAAGACGCATACTTGGCAGGCCAGTACCGTACTGCTACGCGTGATTCGTGATACCAGTTTCGTGAAATTTCACGAAATTGGTAGCAGGTGAAAATCCAGACCGGTTTTTGGAGGCACCGTTTCACGAATTCTGGTGCGCATGTGCGCATGTGCGCACGCTCCAACCCGGACATGTGTCGACATGTCGACAGTGTGTGGTGCATACAAGGAGCTGTTAAAGGGAGCCATGTGGTGACGCTGTGTTTATAGATGCGATGTGAAGCAAGCCCAACCCCGAGATACACGCGGTGGGATGGGAAGTAGGGGGGCAATTTCACGAAATCTGGTAGCATGGTGAAAATCCCGACCACCTAACGCCACGGTCCTTTCACGAATTCTGGTGCGCGCCGTGAAAATCTCAGGGCCCAAAAATAATATTTCACGAATTCTGATATCACGAATCACGTGTAGCAGTACGGTACCCGGTTGGCCCACTATCCAGTTGCAGAGGCCGTGGGAATGCACGTCATGCTGAAAGCCAGTTGAGGTATTAGGATATTACGGATTTCACAGTGCAGACATTGAATGTTTGGCAGGCCGGCAGCACCGCACTACAGCCCAACAATCGTACAGCTAACATGGAGCACAACCCAGCACAAGCGCAGCCATCCACAGACCACCAGCACTTCATGTTATTTACCAGTATATGCTTCATTCGGCTACAGAGCTGAAACACGGATGGATACCCCACCCTAATGCAAAAGCTGCAATGGCAAGGCCGCTAATACATTACCGACTTTAGTGCAGCATCAGGGAGGGCGGAGGAGGGCCTCCTAATCATGTTGTCCGTTCAGGTCTTTGATGCCAAAATCTAGTCCGCTGGAACACATGCCAACCAGCGACACACCGAAGTCATCAGCACCGCAACACCACACCACGGCCTCATCATCGCGGCTCCCTGCTCCATCCCGCCAGCAACAAACATACCAGTCGCCTGCAGCCCTTATAGGTGCAGGCACCGCACGGCCTTGGTAAGCAACCACGATTCCACCCTCTGTGGTGCCTAGCCACCCTGCCACCAGGCCCGTGCACCAAGCACCACCAGCAGCACCGCCACGCAGTTCCGTGTGCGGCTGCAGCTACCGCCCCGCCGCCACAGCCTAGTCGTACAGCTCTGTGCGCAGCAGTCACTGCTGGCGGCTGCACGTTGCCGCTGCCAGCCAGCCTCCTGCCGCGTTCTGCATGGCGGCCAGCAAGCACCGCACCATGAGGCTGTGCTGCACGGAGGGTTTGCCACCCAGCTCGGCTGCGACTGCAGCAAGAGAATGGCAAGCTCCTACGACAATGCCTACACTGCAGCGGGAGCACTGCTCATGCTCATGACCTCCGACAACTCCGACACGCTGCCTGTGATGGGCGGCTCCTGCAGCTCTGCAGTTTGAAGTCAGGTGAGGACGTCTTCTATGGAGCGATAGTCCTGGAAGATCCAGCTCCCGGCCATCTTGCCATCCCGCTGTGCCCGGTCGAGGCTCAGCTGCACATGGCACACGGCGAAAGGGGACCACCGTGCTGCTGTAGTATTGTAGGGGCCGCGCCTCCAGGTCGCCATATGTTGTGTCGCCGAATGCATTGGTCAACTCAGCATAGCCCTTGCCCTTGGGCCCTCCCAGCCACTGGCAGTCGGCGAGCTTCTGCGACTTGAGCTCGTCCCACAGGATGTGTAGCTTGAGCTTCTTGTCCGCTGGGTCCTCATAGAAGCAAACAGCCGAGTTGTTGCGGCGTGCTCGATGGACTGCAGGGAAACACGTGATGTGGTGGGTCACACTGCTGCAAGAACACAGGCAGCGCCAGCCGCCACAGGCTAGATGGCATACTGCATCAAGGCCAAGAGAACCGCCTCTGCATGCCATACACACGTGCCCATGCCCGAGCTACAGCGCTTGCATTCATGTAGGATGAGGACAATGCAAGCGTGAGTGTCTGTACCTTGGACAGCAGCAGCGTGTTGCGTGGTGATGAGATGTCCTCCTTGGACAAGCCCAGCAGGTGGCACGTGCCATCCGCCCAAGACAGCTTGCACAGGTGCGCAAGGCTGACACAGTTTGGGGGGATGCCTTTCCCCAGGAGCTGGCAGCCCTTCACCCCTGCACACTGCAGCTGCTACTTCAGCGCAGATATCTTGCGGTCTTTCTCCGTCTTGCTGTGTGTTGCAGTGGAGCCGTCACGCCACAAGAGCACCTTTGAAACTAGGAATGGCAGAACTGACTCCATCTTGCTGACCTTCCTGTGAAGGTCCGCCAGCATCACTGTGTGGGGGGGGGAGGGGTCACGGCAAGGGTAAGCCGTGCACTCACTCTCTCTTCGACTCTCGCCAAGCCCTTAGCCCCACGTCGCTAGCACCACGTGATCCAGCCAACTTGGCAGCTGGACTTGTCAGTAAGTATGGCCAGTCGCCCAGTTGAAATGCATGCAGGATCTTATTAACGCGGGATCTTATTAACGCAACCAACGCGGGAACGAACGGGTACAGAGCAGCAGCAGAAAGGGACGGACAGAACAACTTCCAGCTGACTTGCAGTACAGCATAGGTGCCAGGGCCCAGGCCTGCACTGCAGCCCATGCACCCACCATGCCATGCCCGAGCGAGCGCCCCGCCCACCCACCCCAACCTGCCTACAGCTGGTGCGCTCTATGCGAGCTCCCCTGGGGTGGGTGTTGGGTGGGTCCTGGGGCCAGGCCCGCCACCCGCCAGCCGCCCCTTGCCGCCTCTTACAGCTCCCAGCACGCACCCAACACGAGTGGGTGCAACCAGCTCACCCCGCAGCCCCCAGCAACGACCCACCCGCCCCACCGCGCGACGGCCTCGCTGCTGCCCTTCCAATATAGAGGCCAGCACCCCCGGCAACAGCCTCTGCACCCCCGACAAAGGCCCGCTTCTTTTCTTGCTTCCGTAGCGGGGGGCAGACAAGCCTCGCATTGGCCTCACCCGTCTTAATGCCATAAGCGTTCAGCCAAACCCCAATCGTTCCCCCTGAGGATCGGTACCCTTCCCACGAGCTCCAGGCCTAGAGGCCCTGCAATGAAGATGGGGTCTCACCGTCAGCTGCCGTGCTCCCAGGGCCCGGCCCTGCCGCCGCGCCTGCATGACGAGAACATCACATGTATGCAGGTCAGGATTATTGCACATCAAGCTGTATCTTGAAGAGACAGAGGCGGTGGTTGCGCAATCGGGGATTCAATCGCAACATGCCGGAATGCTTCACATGGGGCTGGTGCGCTCCGAACTCAGAACTACAAATGTGCCGTTGCTCACCCTACAGCCTCTTGAAATGATCACCAGCAGCAGTGCTGTTCACGATAGCTCAAACCTTCCGTACTACACCGCCGCGGGACACTAGAGCCGGAGTCTTAGGTAAGGTCAAGCCTGCGCCAGCACAACCAACTCACCGGCTCCAGCCGCGCTCCCCGCACAGAGGCCATGATGGCTTGGAACAGCTTTTTGGAACAGCCGATACCGACACCAGCGTTTTGGGTGATATGCTGCTCCTTACAAGGACTGCTCGTAGCATGCTCGGTTGAATGCTCGGTTGCGTGCGAGTTTACCTATCATGATGTTTGTTTGCATATCCCTCCAAGTGAGAGGGCTTGGACCTATGCTGATGTTCGTTACAAGAAGTGAACCGAGGACTGATGCTACACATCATGTATACGCGTTGCTTAGCTTGCAATGTGATGCACCCGCGATGAAAGGTATGCATGTAAATTCGCCCGTGCGCTGAACGCCTTGTAACCCTTCAACCACACTCACAATATACTATTCTCTCCACTCCTGCCACATCATGTTTCACCGACATACTTCGGCATCTTCCGCATCTATATACTTTAGTACGCGGTCAGCTGCTTCACCAGGACCCCGGTGTTTTGAAGTTGGAAATTGACAGTAGGAACTCACCTTGAGCGTTGAGGATTTGATCCACTCGCGCCGGTCTCAGCCCGGCTCGCTCGAGACTCGCCCGGGTCGCGACCTTCAGGTCGTCTAGCATATTATATCCACCCTGCCATAGCACGCGCAGGTCCTCGTCGCTGAACTTAGCAGCTCCAGCAGATTTGAGCCACGCCTCCAAAGGCGCGCGCAGGTTGAGCCAATCCATAGTCTAGCCTCTGATGTATCTTCATAAATTCAAGAATACGAAGAAGTGAACGGCGGCGGAGTCCCGCTACATTCTGCCCTTAAGAGGACAAATATTTTCCTATACTACCCCTAAATTTGGCAGCAACTTACTGTGTGTCCAAACCACCACCCAAATCTGCCGCCT